AAACTTACTTTTTACCTTTCACTTTAATAAGTTTAAAAGTTTTAACCTCTTATCTTATATTATGACACTTTTAACCCTTCACCTTATTAGATTTGTAGGTTTTAACTCATCACCTATTAAAATTAAAGAAAATAGCCATTACTTTATACTGATTGTTAACTTTGTTAGTTGAAAAAATGTTTTTAATAACTAACAGTCAACTAATAGAATTAATAATTAGGTAACAGACTAAACAGTCAGTTAATAGAATTAACAAAATACTACAAAGTAAGGGTTATTTTCTTCAATTTTAATAGATTAAGGGCTAAAACTGTCATAATATATGGTGATGGGTTGAAACCTATAAATCTAATAAGATAAAGGATTAAAAATATCATAATATAAAGTAATGAGCTTGAAGTAAGCTTTTGCCAAAAAAAAAAGAAAAAAAAAGACAATAATTTTAGAGCAATCTTGCGTTCCCCACTTTATTCAACTTCCAAAACCTCATCCACACATATAAACTTTAAAATCCAAAACAGCATCAGCTAATTACAATTCAGTAATCAATCACTCAAGAACAAATATTTTACATGAAATTTAATGCACCAAAAGGAAATTATTTTATAGGAAACCACCATCTATTATCATTGAAACTTGCTACCCGATTGAGAAATCCGACCCGGAGTTGCATCCAAACCATCACGAACAAATTCTTCCCCACCCGGCACTACCATACCCGGGTACACTGGAACAGGACTTGCATTTCTAACTCCATAATATACCTGCTGCTGCCCTGCATCCAGGACAACTCTCATCGCCGCCGTGTCATAAGGATCCATTGTTGCTACAGCTGGCCGGTAAACTTGACCAACACCGGGAACGGGTTGACTGTACCCGATAGGTACTTGACCCGGAACCGGAACCGTGTACTGCGGGATATGTTGTGCTTGGAATTGAACAGGTTGGACCGGAGCAGTTCCTGGTGGAACCGGACCCGGAACATAATAAACCGGTATTTGGGGTAGGGTGGGACTAGGACCCGAATAGTGAGTATCCGGAATATAATGCCACGTCGGATTACCCGTATACCCGGTGGGTTGTGTCGTCACCGGTCGCTCCACAAATTCTCCGGTCTGAGTTTGGGTCAGCTTGGAGTCCACGACGGGGTCTTGATTATCAGGTTTGGTCTTCACCGGTGGAAGGTCCGGCGTGGTAGGTACAATCGGCGGAGAAGAGGTAGAGCAAAACGGAGAGGAAACCACCGCAGCAGGCGACCCAGGATCGGAGACCGACACATTCTCATTAAGAACCGGACGGGTCTTCGATTTCGGTTCGCGAGGCTGACTCTCATCGGAATTATCCAACCCGAATAGATAATCGGGCACTTCTGACACGGTCGACGAAACCTCTGATCGAACCCGCACGAGCCCAGAGCCCGAACCGGCGCCACCACTGTTTAGCGCATCAAAAAACCAGTGCTCTCGATTAGTGGAGCCGTCAAGGAGCGAGCTGATGCTACTGGTTCGAGAATCGTTCCCTTTAGAGAACAGAAACAACCGGAGCCGGGCCGACCTCGGATTCTGATTCTGCGCCAACCGATCGTATTCATCCATCATGTTTTCCAGATCCTCCTCGGTAGTCACAGAGATCAAAGCATCAAGATCTTCATTTGGTAATTGATACTTAACATTCACGTTGCTAATTCCTAAACCCAACAGAGAAATCAACAAAATCAATTAGGAAAAAACGGGAGACAATAAAAAACAGCGAATTTCGATCGTCAAGATTGAATCTTTACCTGAGAGTTTGGACAGTTTCGAGAGGAAACCCGAGAAGGTGATGGATCGGTTGAGTGCGACGATACGGGTGTCGCCGCCGACATAACGGAGCTGGTTATCGTGCGGTCGAGGGACGATCTTACCGCCGAAACTGCACATGACACGCACCCGCCCCTGGAAATCGTGAAAAGGGTCATGATCGGAGCGAGGGGATGAGTTGAGTGTGCCGGCGGCGGAGTCCATGTCCGATGGGTGATGCGACGTTGACATGGTTCTGACAGTTGATAAGTACCGTTAGAAAGTAGATTTTCACCGTGGGATTCTCCGTTGAAGACTTGAAATTGTGTTGTTTGAACCTAAAAGAGAATGTCTCGAGTTTGAGTAGATTAAGATTAAAGACCAAAACTGTACAAATCAGATGCTAAAAATTTTAATGAGCCGTCAGATTGCACCGAATCATGCAACCAATGGTTCTGAAATCTGAAGTCGTCGGAGTGGTGGGCCTTCCTTTCGGGGCTTGATGCAATAATAACAGAAAATCCAACTGTTTTTTAAGGATTTTTTCAGAGATTTGTCTGGCTTATAT